GTTGCTTCGCAGTGGGTCGCTGCAGGATTGATCCTGCCTCGTCGGAGCAGTGAGTGGTCCTGCGGCGGTCGGATTAGGGCCCTCACCCGCCGTGTTTTCTCCACCCTCCTCGTCTTCCTGATTGCTGTCAACCTCAGAGTTCACGTTCCCCTTTCGTCCAGAGCCACCGGCCACGGTCCTCCTTCCGCAGCCATCACAGCCCGCGCGTGCTCAGCAGTCACCGCGCCATCACCAGCGGGCCGCACACACACACCGTCGCAGCAGCCGTCAAAAACACGCACGAGCTGTTGCACATCACTGCAGGAGCCAACAGGACGCAGAGCACACGGCCAGTCATCATCACAAACAGTGGAGTCGCCCAACGCTGTGGATCCGCCTGCAAAAGCACAGAAAACAAAAGAAAAGACACGGCCGCTACACCACGCACAGCCACCGCACAGTCACAAATGGCAGCAGCCCAGCAGCGGCAGCGCACACACACCATGAGGCAGTTGAAAGCAGTGAAAGGGCAAAAACACACAACGCCCTGCAGCAAGCAAGCAGAAAAACACACAAAACAATTAGAAACAAAACACAGGTAAACGAACAGCAATGAAGTTAAAATGTAAACACACACAAAAAAGGGCTGCACAGTATGGCTCCAGCACGCACGCACCCATCCTCAAATGCGACTCCACGCAATCAGTTGTGTGCGTGCCATGCACATGAGTGTGTCTGGGGTGCGTTCAACGTGACGGATGCGTGGAGCGGCAAGGAGCACACAGCAGGGCAGCGGAAGCAAGTGAGGCAAAACACAATCATTATTTTATCCTGTTTAGCACATCGGACCACAGTGGACGCACACAAGTCCCCGCGGTTGGGTGCTGGCACGCACAGCCCGCACACAATTCTTCAGCCCAGAGTGGTGTACGCCAGCGCGGATACGGCGAGCAGCAGCGGGGCACACACCCACGCAGAGCTGCTGAGGCTGCCGTCGCTTTCGCGAAGAAGTGACGGTGCGCGGGTGGTCGTTGTAGTTGGCGCCTCCGTAGTCGTAGTGGTGGTGGTAGTTGGTGCTTCTGTCGTAGTCGTGGTTGTTGTTGGCGCATTTTCCTTCTGACTTTGTGCCGGTACAGAAGCGGTCACGGAACTTGACAATGTGTTTGGGCTAACTGACCCACCTGACAACCCTGACCCATCGGACCCATCTGCTCCCTCCTTTGGAATAGACTCCGTACCTTCGGTATTTGAATTCCCTGCCGGAGCGGCTCCCTCACCGTCCGGATTTTTTGACCCTACCGCTCCATTTTCATCTGGATTTTGTGCAGTACCGTTCCCGGAACTTAATCCTTGTGACGTTTTGCTCCCACTTCCTGTGTGTTCTTTACTGGACGTACTTTGCGACGCTGAGCCACCTGACGTGCCTTGACCACCTGCTCCCTGTGACTGAGGGGACGTTGAAACGTTGGCCGCTTTTTGATTGCCACTACTCGTTGTCGCGCACACGGACGGGCAGCAGCACAGGGCTAGCACCAGCAGGGCGCACAGCAGACGGCACGTCATCATCGTGAGTGTGGTCATTCAGTGGTGTGGAGCTGATCTGCACAGTGAGGGACATGGAGAGCAACAGGGGAGACGAGAGGTGCGGCAGACACACACAGAGGGCAAACACACACATGAGGAGAGGGCAGCAGCCAGGCATGCACCGTACGCCGCACACCACGCACAGCACACACTCCAATCCACGGCAACAGGCACACACACACACAGCCCTGCCGCAACACCAACACACAGATGGAGGAGGGGGAAGCAAACAGGAGCGGCACACAAGGCTCCACCGCATGTACATACGGCGAGAGCGGTCCGTCGTGTCGGCACCCCTCACGGAGGGCACGCACACACGAGAATAGGTGCAGCGCACACAGCAACACAAAAGAAAAGTAACCATGAAAAAGAATAGATCCCCGCACACCACGTGGATTGTTGGTCCACGGGAAGCGCAGCCACCACCGCAGCAGCAGCAGCACACGCAAATTCAAGCGCAAGGAATGGAATACAGCAGCCATTCATTTGTGTTTCCTTTTGGTGGGTGGAAGATGTCTGCATATGTTGTTATTGTTTTTGCGGAGGGTAAACCTTCATGCCTGCATCGTGTGTTGGGGTTCCCGCAGTGTGCACAACTGTTTCCTTCTCTTGTGAATTTTTATTGTGTTGGTGCAGCCAATAATTCAATTTGTGTTGTTCCTGCTTTTCGCTGGTAAAGTGCTGCAATAGATGTTTTTATTTCCTCCTTCGTTGCTGTGGCACCTGATTCCTCGCCGTTTATTGCGGTGGAAATGGGAATATGTGAGTGGACTCCCACGCACCAGAACGCACCTTCGCTCCTATTTATTGCTGCACAGAAGGGCATGTGTGTTTGGTGGTGCCTCGACCATATATTTCGTGGGCGTACATTCCCCTGCAGGCTGAGGGCGGGGCGACGCTCCGTCGCGGTGCACTTCCCTCGCATGCCGCCCACTCTGATTCATCATGCATCACCCCTCACATACTCCGTGGTGCCACACCGTCGATATTATTGCAGCCGCTGTGATTCCGCGTATTTCACGCATTTGATTGTGCCACAATACATCCGCTCGTGTGGCCGCCGCATCCAAACAGCGGTGCCCAACACCGTGAGCGGCAGTCCACATCCCTGCATGTCCCAGCGCAGTGGTGCTTGACTGTCAGCCAGGCGCCAGACAACACGAGAGTATTGTGCCGGCAGCACAACACACGGAGCTGCAGCGAATGACTCGGGCGGCGACGCATCTATTTATCGCAAGGCAGTGAAAAGGAGTCGGGCAAAATAATGCCGGCTGCATTCACGGCACCACACCCACAGCCAAAGCATGCGACATGATGTGTGTTTCACTGGTGCTGTGGAATGCCTGCAGACGACGTCACTAGTGGAGGCACACCACCCATGATCAGCGGACAGACAATAATCGGCATGGGAGGCCACAAAAGGCAGCAACGACGCCAGCAGCAGCAGCTCTCACCCTCTCTCTCTGTTGCCTCCGAGAAGCAAATATTCCACCAGCCACAGCCGGCTGTGCCATCGTGACACTCCATGCACGTCGTGGCTGCGTCAACACATCCTGCTCCCTGCAGCGCCTCAAAAGATGCCTCACTCCGTCCACTAAGTGCATCGATGCGGGCCGTGCCTGGGCTGTTCGTGAGGACCACAGCGATGTGAGGGTCACCGAGTCGCAGCATGTTTGTTGTGACGTTGTTGCATGGCACCTGCACACACACACGCAGCGCCTGCATCCTTCCCTGTTGTGTTCGCCCTCCGCCGGAGTGGCCACACACACGGGCAGCAGCAAATTCATTTCACCCTCGACGATCCAAAATCAACACCGACATCCCTCGCCACGCAAAGATCTCAGTTGCCAGCACGGGCCTCCTGCCGCTCTGCCATCGACGCCGAAACACGGCACAGTGCACGCACTTATTCTCCTCGTGTTCCGTCAGCCGTTTGGTTCACACATTCTCCAACGGGCTGACGCCCACAAAAGCCACTGTGATCGCACAGGCTCTTGCGATGAGCGTCTGTGTGTGCATGGATCCGCTGCTCACACGTGCTGGCAGGCAGCCTGCAGCCGGTGCCCTCGTGCCAGTTCATCGGCTCCAGCATGGGAAAGAGAAAACGGCCAGTTCCTCTTGCACTCATTCCCACCAGCAGCACCAACACGCTGGTCGCCAGCCGTCATTCCTCAGCACATCCAGGAATGCCGAAAAGTGACGTGGAACTGTCAGCCAGCAATGCCACAATCCCCGCACACATGTCGGCTCCACCAGAGAAGACACACAAACTACACACAACACCCCTCACATGTTTTCCGAACATCATTCCGACACACCGCGACACGCCAAACAGAAGTATTCGTCACTCCATGCACCTCCCCACACAATCAAATAGTCCATGCACCACGCACGGCAGCAGCTCACACCCGTCTAAACAAGTGTTCCTCGGACCAGTGTTATCCACGTGCTGCAGTGGGAAGTAAACAAAAGAGACGGGCCGCCAACCCCCAAAAGAGTGCAACGACCGGCCGCAAGTCAACGGAACGCAGCCACTCAAAACAATTCAGTCCTAATGCCCTCAGCCTCCCACCTTCTCCCACAAAAGCCTCAGGAGACGCCAATCAGGCGCGCCGTCCAACAAAGTCGCTGTGCAACACCAGGAGGAATCGCAGTGCCTCCTGCTGCCATCCGGGTACGTTGTGGACGTCATGATGAGTAGAAACGCCCATTGGTGCTTCGAAACGACGCTGCACACCTGCGACGCATCATACGGTTTGAGACGCACGTGCCTCACCATCACCACAGACGCCCACGCGCCGTCGGTACGCACTACATCGTCAAAGAAGCAAAGGATACGTCAGGGTGGCAGCAAAGCACTCGCTGGCAATTCCCGTCGCAGGCATCATCACAAGCAGCTCCAGCAGCGCTGCAGACCGTGGGGTGACGTGGATCAACTGACGCATGGCGTATGTGGAAAAGAAAGGACGTGGTGGCTTTACAAGGATACGAGTGGCTGACACTTTTAGAAGGAGAAAGAAAACAATGTGAGAACACACAAAGAGGAATCAGGCGTCTGCAGTCAAAGCAAACCAGCAATCAAAAAAAGTAAGATGGGTGCACTCAACCACAACACAGGCAGAGGGTAAAAAATACCAACAACAAAAAGCCGAAGCGTGGGGGCGTCCACCCAGCAGTGGGGACGCGCAGCAACAGGTGCGACGACCAGCGCACACACTCCCATTGCTCTCGTAAAGCAAAACACACACGCACACAGGGAGAGAGAGAGGTCGCCCACTCAATGCAATAAAAACAAAACAGAAACAGTTACGGTGCTCCGCCCATGCAGCCAGGCAGGACGGCAGCGGTGCGTGTCGTGCAAAAGAGAGCACCAACGGGCCTGCATGGGTGTGCATGCATATATACAATGGGCACATTATTGTGTGTGCTTCGTGGGGTGAGGTGAGGGCGAGAGTCCATGCAAGGGGACACACACACAGAGAGAGAAGGAAGAGTGTGTGTGCGGGCGGTGCACGGCTCTCTCTCCCTCACTCTCACGCAGCCACCACCGCAGCCGCAGCCGCACACGCAACAACAACAAGAAGAAGCAAAGGAGGGGAGGTGGTGTGGGAGACCGCGGTGCTGCTGTCACTGTCGCCAGGTGTCGTATTATCATTTGTTGGAGCGGTGGTGAGTGGTATTGCTGTTTGTGGCAGTGCCTCAGTGGCTGTAAAAGCAGGACTCGTATTTTGAGGCTCGGGGTCTTTGTGTGTTTCTTTATGATTGGGCTGTTGAGCATTATCAGCATCCTCACTCGCTACACTCTTTGTATCAGCACCGCCACTTGTAGAGATGGGTGGAGCTGTTGTTTCCACCAAGCTGCTGGCAGCTTCGTCCTTCACCGAATCCGATGCTGCTGTGCCCTCAGTGTTTTGCTCTTCCGCGTCATCCTTTGAAGGGGTTTCTTGTCCCAAAAGCTCTTTTTGGGCTTCTGACGGTGACGTTTGGTGCATTTCCTCCGTTGAAATTTGTAATTCTTTTGCTGCTGGGGTTCCTCCTGCTGAACTTGCCGGTGGTGGTGGTGGTGGTGCTTTCTTGGAGTCTCTTTCTTCTTTTTCTCGAGTACGTGGGTCTGTTGCGCGTTCTTTTCCTGCGGGCACTATTATTAGTTCTGTTTTTGGCTGTTCTTGTGGAGCTGCTTGCAGTGTTGTTGGTTGTGTGTCGCTGGAAGGTCCTCCCGTCACTGCGGCCCTCTGCGTGTTCTCCTTTTCAGTTGCACCGCCATTAACAACTTGATTTCCTGCGGTGTGTGGCTTAATAGGGGAGTGGTCTTCTGCATTAGATGTTGACGCCTCTTGTCTATCCAAGTTGGGTTGTGCGGGTGCTGGAGGTTCTGCTGATTGTGACTTAACGCTTTTTTCTGAGGAATCCATGCTCAGGGTGGCTGTCGTACCCTTGCCGCCCTGCAAAACATCCCAGTCAACGGGATTGGGGGGTGAAAGCGTACAGGCGGAAAAAGAAGCGGATACCATGGATTTAACACCACTTCCAGAAGAACTTCCACTCGGGCCAACACCACCAACGGCATTGTCAGCTTCACCACCTTGGCTGCCACCGGATAGTGGTGGGCCTTCTGGTAAATTCTGTAATTCTGGTGCTGATGGTTTTGGTGATGGTGGTGACTGCAAAGACAGCGCTTCATTCGACAACACTTGATTGCGTGTTACCGGAGATCCCACAGGCATCACTGCCAACTTGTTGTCTAGCCCCACAGTTCCACCGCGAGGGGATGAGTTTATTTGCCCCAAATCCGTCCTCTCCAAACGATCCCCCTCGCTCTCCCCATTAGGCTCAGAAGCAAACAAACCATTGTCAGCTCCACCACTTGGGCCAGCACCAGTACCAACAACCGTGCCACCACCAGAGCCAGAAAGTAAAGCCTGCGGTGTGTCATCACAGCCACCGCCGCCGGCACCGCACCACAGCACGCAGAGGGCACACACCAGCAGCACACGGCCAGCCATCATCATCGCCATCACTCCCGTCACTTGCCTGCAGCTTTAAGCACAAACTAACTCCCCGTCAACGCAGAGCGGAAGCAAAAGGAGAGACACGGCCGCTACACCACGCACAGCCACCGCACAGTCACAAATGGCAGCAGCCCAGCAGCGGCAGCGCACACACACCATGAGGCAGTTGAAAGCAGTGAAAGGGCAAAAACACACAACGCCCCGCAGCAAGCAAACAGAAAAACACACAAAACAATTAGAAACAAAACACAGGTAAACGAACAGCAATGAAGTTAAAATGTAAACACACACAAAAAACAAAGGGCTGCACAGCATGGCTCCAGCGCGCACGCACCCATCCTCAAATGCGACTCCACGCAATCAGTTGTGTGCGTGCCATGCACATGAGTGTGTCTGGGGTGCGTTCAACGTGGCGGATGCGGGGAGCGGCAAGGAGCACACAGCAGGGCAGCGGAAGCAAGTGAAGCAAAACACAATCATTATTTTATCCTGTTTAGCACATCGGACCACAGTGGACGCACACAATTCCCCGCGGTCGGGTGCTGGCACGCACAGCCCGCACACAATTCTTCAGCCCAGAGTGGTGTACGCCAGCGCGGATACGGCGAGCAGCAGCGGGGCACACACCCACGCAGAGCTGCTGAGGCTGCCATCGCTTTCGCGAAGAAGTGACGGTGCGCGAGTGGTCGTCGTTGTAGTTGGCGCCTCCGTAGTCGTAGTAATTGGTGCCTGTGTTGTAGTGGTCGTCGTGCTTGTCGTAGTAGTGGTAGTGGTCGCCGTGCTCTTCTCGGCCGGATCGTCGACATTCGTATTTGTTTGTTCCGTGGATGAATTATTGCCACTTGTTGAGTCTGTCCTATCGTTGTCACCATTTTTCTGTACCGCATCGGCCGCCGTAACTGAACTCCCTGACCTACCGGATCCATCCTGTCCCTGTTCTGTACCAGACGCCGGACTTGTTGGACCTGAATTCCCTGCCGGAGCGGATTCCTTACCTCTTCCGGTATTATTCCTCGTGTCTGATGGTTGTCCTTTACTGTCCGGATTTTCGGTTACCGATAAAGTAACTTCCGTACCAGTTGAACTTGAAGTCGTGGAAGTATTTGCTTGCCCCATAACACCTTTTCCCGGTTGCTGAGGGGACGTTGAACCACTGCCCGCATTTGGATCTTCACCAGTCGTTGTCACGCACAGGGACGGGCAGCAGCACAGGGCGAGCACCAACAGGGCGCACAGCAGACGGCACGTCATCATCGTGAGTGTGGTCATTCAGTGGTGTGGAGCTGATCTGCACAGTGAGGGACATGGAGAGCAACAGGGGAGACGAGAGGTGCGGCAGACACACACAGAGGGCACACAAACACATGAGGAGAGGGCAGCAGCCAGGCATGCACCGTACGCCGCACACCACGCACGACACACACTCCAATCCACGGCAACAGGCACACACACACACACAGCCCTGCCGCAACACCAACACACAGATGGAGGAGGGGGAAGCAAACAGGAGCGGCACACAAGGCTCCACCGCATGCACATACGGCGAGAGCGGTCCGTCGTGTCGGCACCCCTCACGGAGGGCACGCACACACGAGAATAAGTGCAGCGCACACAGCAACACAACAGCAAAGTAACCATGAAAAAGAATAGATCCCCGCACACCACGTGGGTTGTTGGTCCACGGGAAGCGCAGCCACCACCGCAGCAGCAGCAGCACACGCGCAACAAGATGAAGCAAAAGAGGGGAGGTGGTGTGGAAGACCGCGGTGCTGCCGTCACTGTCGTCAGACGTTCATTTTATTAGTGGTGTTGTTGGTATTGTTGTGAACCCCTCACTGTTGTCTGCCGCGGCGCCCGTGCCGTCGGATGCGCTCTGAAGTTATGACTTCGTATCATTCTCTTCGTCGTCTGTGGAGGCGGCGGGTTCAACTCTCCCGGAGCTGCTCCCAACGTCAAAGACCCCCGTCCTGCCCGTATTGGCGTAAGGCTGTACGGCTGGAATAACTGCGGGCTACTGTCACTCTCCCGAGTATTCAGCGCACCACTGCTGGCGGTGCGCTCGGTTGCTTTCAAATCTTTTTTACGTGCTGTTGGAGTATCAGCGGAATCGTCACCCTGTCTGTTTGCAGGCGTCATTGCAGCAGCAGTGGGGCCAGTTGGAGTGCCCGATGATGTGGACTGCGTGACGGGAGCCTCACGGGATGCGATCCGCGTGCCGCCCAAATCGGCCTCGCCCTTTTCATCAGCTGCACTGTGGGGGTTATGCCCTTCGCTGGTGCGGCTTCATCCGGCTCTTGAGGAGACGTTATTTCCGAGTCCGGCTGCAGCGGTGGTGGCAAGGACGGTTCTTCCATCGACGACTCGGGGATGCGTGTTTCGGACAGTTCCCCCGTTACCGCTGCCGCATTATTTTCCGTCTCCCCTAAACGATGCCCATCCTTTTGGCCTCAGTGGCACAACCCAACACACCAGAGCCGTCCTCATTATTCTCCCACCACCATCACTAACAACCGTGCCGCCACCAGAGCCAGAAAGTAAAGTCTGCGGTGTGTCATCACAGCCACCGCACAGTCACAAATGGCAGCAGCCTAGCAGCGGCAGCGTACACACACCATGAGGCAGTTAAAAGCAGTGAAAGGGCAAAAACACACAACGCCCCGCAAAACAGAAATATAAAAAACAACCGAGGTTTAGATTCCAGTGGGACTCCCAAAAAAATAAATAAAATTCTTTCGGCAGGACTTTTATTTCATGTGCCAAGCAGCACAAAACGACCATGTGCTTCTGTATGTTCATAATGCCTGCAGCAATAAAAAGAAAAAAGAAAACCACGTTATTGTTCCGCCAGCCCACACAACACCCCTCACATTTCACGCGGCATCCGGCCTGCTCCTCCACTCATTATTTCGTGCAGTCCGTGGGACGCACAGCAATGAGGCCGGCACCGCGTGTGGGCAACAAAACAGCAAACAGAAAGAGGGGAATCACGTCACTCATGACGGTGGGCAGGAACGAACTATTAAATAAAGCAACAGCAAGGATACTTATCATTCCAGGGAAACAACAAAAAACAACAGTAAGATGTAAATATTAAAAGAAATCACGCAGGGAACGCGGCACATGTTCTCCGTGAGAATTCGCAATTCCACACTCTTTGGCTCACAAGACTGCCACAACCCCACACAATACAATAAAAAGCAGCAACGCCCAATACACGCAAACACGCGCAGTGCTGCCAACAGTTAACTCTCGCAGTGTCAATTTCGCGTCGCAGCGCTGGGCAAAGCAGTCGTGTAGACCCACACCGCTCCCGGAATACTGCGCGGTGAGTTTTTGTAATAGGGGTTTGCTTTCGTGTCCAGAGGCATGGCGTTGAGTCAATCCGCCCGCATCACCCTCAGCAACAAATCCACTGCCTGCAGCGCCATTTTCTGAAGAAAGGAGTTTTGTGTCCAGTGGCGTCGCGCTCACTCACCTCGTCCGTGTTATCCGCAGCAACGTGTTCCCTGCCGCCACAAGTGACAGACATGATCTCGGATGCATTCGACGCCACTACTATTCTCGGACCGTTGGCAAAGGAAGGCCTCTTCTTGGATGCATTCGGGACCATCACTTCGTTCGGATTGGTGGCAAACTCAGGCCTCGTCTCGGACGTGTTGGTCGCCGTGTTGGATGCGGGACTCGGACCGACGGTGTTGGGTCCGTCAGCCACCGCAGACTGTCGCCAATCCTCGTTTTGGCGTGACGGCTCAGAAGTCACTTGCGGCGCAGTTGTCCCACCAGATTTTGTGTCATCCTTCCCTTCACGGGGTGGCGGCAACTGACGGATGCCCGTCCGGTCAGCATCGCTGCTCCGTGCGGGCGGATGGATGGTTCCATCGGGGGGAAATTGACGCCGCCACAATTCATAAGGGCCAGCGTATTTATGTGTCGTCACATTCACCGTGAAGGCAACGGTGGCCCCTTCCTCTTTCCTTGCACAGCTGCTACACGTGTACACCGCATTGACCACATGGCACACAGCGCCCAGCTCACCATTCCTGCCATGCATGCGCACATCAAAGCCACTGAAAGTATAATTCTCATACTGAGCCTCGGCACTGGCAGCAGAACAATTCCTCCACGCCCACACACACGCGACAGTTCAGGCTGCCGTCACTCTGAGGGCACGACACATCCACCGGCACAACCACCGCATCCGCAGCACCAGATACATGTCCAGGACTCCCAGCAGCCGTCACGCACACGGACGAGCAGCAGCAGCACAAGGGCGCAAGGACCAACACGGCGCCGCACCGTCACCATCGTCATCATCGCAGTCATCACCCGTAGTGGAGTCGCTGCAGTCAGTCAGCTGATCCGTGAGGCAGAAGGAAAAAGAATGCAACAAGAGGGAGAGGGACGGAGCACAGCGGATACAGCGAGAGAGCGCAGACAACATGAGGAGAGGGCAGCAGGCCCAGCCGCACAGTTCACACACCACGAGACGGCATCCACGCAAGGAAGGCAAACAACGCCAGCAGACACCCACCATGCAGGAGGAGAAGACATCCACCACCATCTCCCCCAGCTCATCTCCGCAGCTCCAGGGAAGTGGCTAAAACCCGCGGCCACCCCACCAGCCACAAAATGAGCAGGCGAACCCTCATCCATCCACGAGGCGGAAACAAAATTCCAGCCATCCCGCCCTCAAAGCGACACGGAGCCCAACTCAACGCAGTCACACGCGGTGCATCACACCCGCAGGAAAATAGACTCGGGCTGCACACTCCCTCCCTCCCTCCCGCCTCCTCATGACCACAGAAGAAGACAACGGCCGCCACACGCAACTGCCAGCATGCACTGCAAAAGAGGAATTCAAATCCACTGCGATGTGCGTCTTGTGTGTGTGGTTGTGTGTGCCTGCAGACACACGAGGCAAAGAATTAGAAAAGAGGGAGCGGAGTTTGTGGAGAGACGCACAAAACCAAAAATGTACAGCGAAGGTGCATGGCGGAAACAACGAGAAGAAGACCGCTCAAACTCATGACTGCACCGCAGCCCAAGCAGTGGCGATTCACACAATATTTATTCAAAACAAAAAGAAAACCATCCCCTTCGTCTTACACAAACCCCATCGCACAAAATAATTATAAAAGAAAAAGAAATCGTCCATTACTGTTCCACACAAATTCAAAAAAGCAGCCGGCTGCCTTGTAGCCCCACCAAACTGTCTGTATATTTTGCCCAAATTAAAATTAAAAGATATTTAAATGTCTTTCAGCCGTACGACCCTCCGTGTGTCCGCACATCGTTTATATTTCATGCGGCCATCTGCGTGTTGCTGCTCCGCTCAGCCCTCTCATCGGCGCGTGAGTGCGGCCCGCAGAGCACAGTCACTCGTGTGTGTGGGACTGAGAGAAGCACGCAGGCATGACGGGAGTCGCGTCACTCCATCGGGAGAGTGAGCGCAGCAAAAGAAAAAAATCATCAGAGAAAAGAAATGCTCACGAGGCCGACACCGAAGGGTGCGCCGGCGCAAAAGAAAAAAAGAAAAACACGGCGGCAGGGTGTGGCTGTGTGTGTGTGGCGCTGCGGGTGTCTGCCCGCCCTGGCCGCAAGAAAACAAAACAAGAGGGAAGAAATGTGTGCGCCGCCCCACAGGCCCTCGTCGCACGCCCACACGTCACGGCTCCCTCAGCGCGCCGTTCGTCGCGGCCCCTCCTCATGCGTGCAGCAGGCGAGGCGCACAGGGCCGTCGTCGTGAGCGTGTCGGTGGGTGTGCGAGTGGAGCAGTTGGGCGGCAAACACACGGCACCCCTCGCAGGAAGAGTGCAGAAGAAACAATTAAAGAGGGAAGAGTAGAAAAGAAAAACGTCCATAGTGATTGCCCCCAAAAGAAAAAAAGAAAGGGATGGGAGGAGCAAAATAAAAAGAAAACATTAAAACACAAGAAAAACAAAAAAAGTGCACAAAAAAAAAGGAAAGAAGAATTCATAAAAACTAAAAGCAAAAAAAATGTTTCATGAGAAAAGAAATTCCTTCCAGGGGAAAGGTAATTCTCCGCAGCGGAGGTCGCAAGTGACCCACGCGGCAGCCAGCCACTCCTCACAGAGCCGCAAAACCCCCACAGTCCCAACAGAAGCGGCAGCAGCGATGGCAGCAGTCCGCTCCCACGCACAGTGCCGCCATCACCCGTTGCTCCTCCAACGGCATGGGAGTTCAGAGCCGCCGCACTCCCCACACTTCCCTGCGATCGATTCGCCGGCACTTGCTGTGTGGTGGCAGAT